GGGGGGGGGGGGGGGGCCCTTGGCTACTAGTCAGACATGCAGCTCTGTGTTCTCAGGGCAGCAGATGAAGGATTTGCAGGACAAAGACTCCCAGGAACTTTCTAGGCAAGTAAAAGGGGGCTCCAACTCTGAGGGTTCCCCTGGACACCACCAGAGGCCTTGCTCACCCAATACTGAGGAGCCCCCTCCGCTCCTCTACAATATGGGGCTCTTCTCCCAGCCCCCTCTGGAAGCTTCTACGAGGCTAAGTTGAGATCATCACCAGTCACTCTCCTAACCAGAACGCTCCACTACTGAGTCAACCACCCAAAAGACAGGATCATTTCTGCTTCCCAGAAAAGGACAGGAAGTGGGGAGCAGGGCGCTGACTGGCCCGAGGTCACAGAGCAAAGGATAATAAAGTCAGAACTCAGGGCCAGGTGCAGCCGGCTCACGCCTGTCATCCTAACTACTCAGGAGACTGAGATCCGAGGATCACAGTTCGAGGCCAGCCCAGGCAGGAAAGTCTGGGAGACTCTTAATCTCCAATGGGCCACCAGAAAACCGGAAGTGGGGGCTAGGGCTCAAAGCCGTAGTCTGCTAGCCTCGAACAAAAAGGCTCAGGGACAGCGCCCAGGCTCTGAGTTGAAGCCCTAGGACCAGTACCAAAATCAATCAATCAATCAATCGATCGATCGATCAAAATTGACCAGAACCCCCCCACCAAAGCCTAGCTCTGAGGCTCTCAGGTCTGCTCACTGTAGGGGACTGTGGGGCCCGGACCCCCTGTTGTGGCTGGACACCATATCTCTCATGGTACCACGGCACCCAGCTGCTGCCCCTAGCGGGGAGGGAGACGGTACAGGCCGCTCCTCCACACCTGTAGACGATGCGCTCCCGGTGCAGGTCCTCCAGGCCGCAGCAGATCTCAGCGGCATAGAAGACGGCCCGTGCTTCGGGGAAGCCAGCCTGGCCCATGTGGTAGATGTGGAACTTGAGATCCCCTCCATTCATCAGAGTTAGCACCAAACAAAGTGCGTCCTTGGTCTCATAGGCGTAGGCTAAGCTCACCTGCGGTCAGGGGGACCCCAGTCCTCAGGCAGGAGCCCTGGGGCTGATGCCAGCCACAGAAATACCCTGCTAGGATGCCCACGCTTCCCGAGCCTGGTGTCCACACCCCCCATCCCAGCCTCCCTGGGCACGGAGGGGTCAGGGCAGAGATTCAGCCCGGCCGGCAGGGAGGCAAGCAGGGAGCTGGCGTTGGATCAGGGGAAAGGAGAGATCTTTCTGTACTCACTACGAATCTACTGTTCACTTTCTCCAGGATCTGCTTCTCGTTGAGGGCCATGGCCTCCCCTTTCCGCTTCTTGATCCGTTTCTTTTCCAGCTTCTTGCACGCATACATCTTGCCTGTGGCCCGCACCTGGCAGGCGCACACCTGCAGCCCGGGGTACATGGGGCAAATGGCGGGCCGGCCCTTGCCTGCCCCGGGGGGGGGTGGCAATGGTCCAAGCCCACCCAACAGCACCCTGGGCACACTGCCAGAGGGGGCACTGGCCTGGCCACTCACCTCCCCAAAGCCACCTTTGCCCAGGACTCGGTACTGCCGGAAGGTGTTTTTGGTCACTGGCTGCCTGTAAAGGAAAAGGAGTGAATGTGGGCTGAGCTGGCG